GGGGGCCATGGGTGAGCCAAGCACAGTCCATACCCCTGTGCCCCACTGAAACCCAACAGGGCAAATCTAGCACACTGCTGTGCTGTGGGGCTGTTCTGCCATACCGTGGGCATCAAAGAACTCCTCCTCAGAGCTGTTCTCGGAGTCACGGGCAATGTTCTGCATACGCCACTCAGACAGGCTCTGAGGAGACACACCACCTGCCAGAAGCACAGGGTCAGCACCGAAGGCAGCGAGCCCCTGCTCGTGCCCAACAGTGCTGCTCATGCACCCAGAGCCACCCAGAGCTTTGGGACATCCAAAGCCACGCTCTGGGGTAGGAAAGAAGGGTCCTGATGCACCTCTGCCAGAGAACAGCAGCAGCCACAGGACCCAGGGGTCCCTCACTCCTCCCGTTCTCACCTCCGTGCTGAGAAGAGTAGGAAGAACGCGAAGATGTGGACCACTGCTTGGCAAAGCTGTCATCAGGGGAGATGTCGGCAGTCCCTTGAGCCTCAGTGCCCTCTTGCCCGCTGGCACCTCCTGGCTCTGGCCGCCCCTCAGGGCTGGGCCCCGCAGTGGAGGGCTCCTCAGCCTCACCACACTTGGCCATTTTCTGTGCCAGCATCCGCGCCGTCTCCTCCTCCAGCTGCCGGATGTCCTCCATGGTCAGGTCAGTCCACTCATCCTGCCAGCACCAGGCCTGGCGGTGGGCACGCAGCATCACTTTACGCAAGCCTGAAGCAGGGGGAGTGAGTAAGGTATGGCCCCCAAAAACCCACCGTCCCAGGGCTCGAGCTCACCGCCATCGCCCCACGCTCACCAACATCATGGATGAACTGCTCAATCTTGGACTGCATCCCCCAGTAGCGGAACTCCACCTTGCACAGCTTGTAGGCACACATCAGCGGCCCACTGCTGGCTGCCTCCAGCCAGTTATCCCCCAGTGGGCCCCGGCCAGTCTTGGCTGAGCGGTAGAGTTTGGGGTCCTCCTCGGGTTTATACTCTCCAGGGGATATGGGGTCACGCACAATGTCGATGGTGTCTGGGGTAGAAGGAAAAAAGGGTGAGGGATAAGACTGGCAGCGCCCTGCGAATCATTTCCACACACTGTGTGCCCAAAGATGGGACGCCTCTGTCCCCTTGAGCCTCTGGGGACTGTCCTCACGCTGGGGCCAGACCCGCTGCCTCAAGAAGCAGCAGCAAGAGGTGGAGGCAGGAGTGGGGGTGGCCAGGCTAAGAGCTGGGCTGACACACATAGGCGCATTAGCGTGGGGATTTGGCAGCTGGAGAACGGCAGCGGTGACCCCAGGGGCACGGGGGGGTGTGCCGAGGACAAGGCCAAACAAGGCAGCTCGGAACTCTGCTCACTGCCTGCTGGTGATGGCGGTAGGGACAAAATTTGTCCCTTGCCTTGGCTGTGCCACCAGCGTCCCAGCCGGACATCCCCAGTGCTGCGAGAGCCAATGAGAGAAATAGGTCAGATGAATCATTTCCTCCGAGTGCCTATTTTAGGCCTCCATTTTAGGAGTAGAGCATGACGCGCTGCGCTCCAGCGCCCAAAACAACCGTGTCGACACTGCCAGGAATGGGAACAGGCAGCAACGGGGGACAAACATGTCCCTGTGGGGAACAGTCTGCTCCAGGATGGCTGGGAACGGGGAACAACACTCTGCAAAGCCCTGGGGGGGGCAGGAGAAGCAGAAGACAAAATGGGGACATGATTCCCTAGCTCCCTGTCTCCAGCTGATCACAGGACTGAGCAGGGAGCTCAGGGTATGGGCAGTTTCCCCTACAAGGATAACTTAACCTGTCCCTACAGCACAAGGTCAGCAGAGAAAGCCCCAGATCCTGCCTCATGCCCCTGCTGCACACACCCAAGATCCTCTGCCTCTTCTCAGCAGCGCTCAGGTTGAAGATATTGGTCTGCTGGCCAGCATCTGGCCGGTAATACGTCTCAATTTCGATAGAGAACTTCTCCACAAAGGGACAGGTGTACCTATAGGAAGCACGGGGGTTAGGCTGAGCCCAGTGGGCAGCCCCCAGCCTACATTCCCATGGAATCCCACCTGGTGCGGGTGTAGGGGTACGCATTCCAGGACTCCTCCTCCACCTGCAGCGCAGCTTTGGGCAGCAGGGCCCGAAACCAGCTGGGGATGTGGGAGCCCACATGGTAGATCTTGTGGGTATACTGCCCGCTGCCACCGGGGCCATCGCTGTAGGGGCGGTTGGCCAGGATCTCCACCCCGCTGCCCTCACCGCTTGATTCCTCCCGGCTTTTCTTCTGCAGGGTGAGGATGGACTGAGCCCCGGCACCCCAAATCCTGTTGTCTTGCCGGCTCCAGGTCCTTCCCCCCCCCCCCCCCCCTGCACCCTTTCCTCAGCCCCAAATCCCTGCACCCCCACCTCAGCCCCATAGCTTTTCCCAAGAGCCCCACTTCAGTTAGCACTCTGAGAAACAGGCTCAGCCCCATGCCTCCACACTCCATTTTCACAACTCCATACCCCAGGCTCCCAGCCCCACACTCTCTTCACAGTCTAATACACAGCCCCACATTCCTGCACCCCACAGGCTCCACACTGCCCTCATATCTCTATACTCTTAACCCCCACCACCTCAGACCTCAAACCCCACAACATCTGACCCCCACCCTCAGCCCCACACCCCTGCACTCCCCCATACCCCTCAGCCCCAACCACCCCGAGACCTAGACTCCCCTACTCCCCCAGATTCCACACAGCTCCCAGGATCCCATACAAACCCCAAGTTCCATATTATCCACAAACAGTCCCTTCAGCTCTGAATCCTATGACCCCCTCTCAGCCCCATGCTCCCGTAGTTCCCAGGAGTCCATAAACCCCCTCCCCCCCAAAACCCCACAACCCTCAGCCCCCAGCTCAGCTCTGACCCTCACTTCCAGCCCCATCCTCCCACACTCCCCCAGACCCCATAGGACACCTCCAGACCCCAAAGAGTCCCCCAGATCATCGCCAACCCCCAAGCTCCGCAGCGTCCCCCATATCCCTCAGCCTCGAACCCCCTGACCTCCACTCTCAGCCGCACGCTCCTGCACCCCCCCCTCCCCACCCAGGCTCCACACGGTCCCCGGCCCCACACAAACACCACCCGACCCCCTCCCCAGGCCTTACGCGACCGCCTCGGGCCGCGGCTCAGGCTCCAGCCGCACCTGGATCATGTAGAGCTGCGCTACCTGGTACTCCTCCAGGCTCATGGGCAGCAGAATGTGGTACTCCTTGATGAGCATGGCGCCGGGTTTGGGGGAAGGGGCGAGGGGGCTCCGCGACCCGCCGCCGTTAACCCGGCCCCGGCCCGGCCCGCTTCGGCCGGGCCCTCCCCGCTGCCATAGCAACGCGCCCCCCGCCCGCTCGGCCGCGCGCTCGGCTCCCTTCGGCTCTTTCCGTAACCCTTCGGCTCCTTTCGGTTCCCTTCGGCTGCGCTCAGCCCCTTCCGAACCTGCGCCGCTCTGAGCCGGCCCCGAGCCTTGTGACGTCACGGCGTGGGGGGCGCCCGCTGACGTCAGGAGGTGGTACAGCGAGGAGGGGGGGTGTGACATCAGAGGGGACGTCAGAGGCGGGGGGGCGGCGGACCGGGAAATTAAAACGGAGCGGTATATTCGGGGAAATTTGCGTTATTCCTTTTTTTTGGAAGGCGCATTTTCTTTAAGGGAGGGATGCAACACGTCTTTTATTTATAAAAGCTGGAAGGCTAGGAGAGGGAGGGGAGCCCCGGGGGTGGCCCCGCTCGGGGGGAGCCACCGGCGGGGCTCGGGGGGGCGGGGGGCGGCTGTCACGTGCGGGCATTGCGCTCTGTCTCGGCCAAGCACTCCCGCACCAGCGCCCGCGCGTGGATGATCCCTGAAGGGGGGGACGACATGAAGTAAGGCACCGAGGTCCGGGCTGGGGGGGAGAGGAGGTACACAGAGGGCCACCCCCCGGCTCTGTACCCCGCTTGAGTCGCTCCATGGCGCTCTTGCTACCGGCGTAGGTGGGCCGGATCTCCCTGCCCATCTCCTCGATGACAGACAGAAGGTCGCTGTAGGTGCTCTGCGAGCCCGGCGCGCCGGGCGGCTTCATTGCCTGACAGGGGAGGCACGGGGGGAGGGAAGACGGAGGAGAAGGTGGGGGCTCAGCCTTGCTCCACACCGCCCTCCCCTCGTCTGCCCCTGCCCCGCGGCCTCACCTGCACATAACCCATGGAGGGCGGCCCGAAGTCGTTGAAGAGTGGGCGGAAGGCGGACGGCGAGGGGACGCTGGGAGCTGCGGGGAGCGACACCGGGTCCGGCCCTCCTTCAGTCGGGGTCCGGCCCTCCTCCGGGCCCCGTCCTCCTCCTCAGGCCCTGTCACCCCCTCAAGCCCGGCTCTCCTCAGGCCCTGCGCCCCGCTCAGGCCGCCCACAGGCGCCGTCCTTTCCCTCCCTCAGCCCCTGACTCCCCGCGTCCCCTCCTCAGTCCCCGTCCCTCTCCTCCACGCCCTGCTCAGGTCCCGCCGCCCCCCTCGGGCCTCGTGCCTCTCCTTAAGTTCCCTTCTTTCCCCACCCCCGCTCTACCCCCGGTTCGCCGCCCCCCGGGGGCTCCTCTCACCGGCGGCCGTGGCGGCGGGCCCCGGGGCGGGGCTGGCGCTGGGGGCGGGCGCGATGGGTTTGTAGGACATCCCCGCACCGCTCCGAGCGGCAATCCGTCCCGAGCGTCGGCCGCCGTGTGGGGAAGACGGAAGCGAGCGGCCGAGCGGGGCGCCCCCCTCCCGCCTCCTAACTACTGATTGGCCGGGCGGCGCGGTCCGGCGGCGCTGATTGGTCGGCGGCCCGAAAGGAGCCGGTCTGCGCTCTCGGCGGGGCGCGGCGATGACGTCACGACACGCACGCCGCCAATACGCAAACTCGGCGCGCCGTGCTCTCGTCACCATGGAGACGCGCGGCGTCCTGCTCCCCCATTTGCCTCCCCCGGCCCCCCGCCGCGAGGGCCTGAGGCTTCCCCCGGCACTCAATGGAAGGGCACACGGCACCCGACGGCACAGAGCTTCATTAGGAACCGGCAAAGCTGCGAACCCACGACCCCAGGGGGCCACAATCAGGGCTCCCCCCCCCCGGAGTGCAGGCCCGGGGAGACCTTCTCCCCTCCTCCTCCCGGTAAGGCACGGCGGCGGCTCCCGGCCCTTCAGCGCGACATCATCCGCACAAACTCTGCAAAGAACCACAGCGTTAACCCCCAAATAAAGCTGGCAATGGGGGCTCACCACCCCCCCCCCCCATCGTTGATGCCATCATCCCCCAAATAAAGCCGGGATCGGGAGGGGTCTCCCCCCCCTTCACCCTCACCCCCATTACCTTCAAAGTCCACCAGGCCGTCCCCGTTGAGATCCACATCCTTGAGGATCTCATCCACTTCACGGTAGTTGAGCTGCTGCCCCAGCAGCTTCCGCATGGCCTCCCGCAGCTCCGCCATGCTAATCTGCCCGTCCCCATTGGTGTCGAACTGCACCGGGGGGACCCAGCATCACCACTGTGCTCCCAGCACTGTGTCCCCCCAGCCCTGCTGTCCACACCCCCTCACCTCGCGGAAGGCGTCGCGCAGCTCCTTGATCCCGATCATGTCCGCCGTCTCCGCCAGCATCTTAGGGCCCATCAGCTCCACAAAGTCATCAAAATCCACTTTGCCGCCTGCTAGGGGACCAAGGGGGGAGGAAGGTCAGTGGGGATGGTGCCACCATGCGGATGTGGGATTCCTCCCCCTGCCCCGGCACCTACTGATCTGCTGGGACAGCTCAATGAGCTCCATCTCGGTGGGCATGTAGCCCATGGTGCGCATGCACTCGCCCAGGTCCTTGTAGCTGATGTAGCCATCACGGTCCTTGTCAAACTCCTTGAAGGCTTGCTTCAGCTCTGGGGACAGAGCAGGGAGAACGGTGACAACCAGGGACAGCCCTGGGGGCACCCCACAGGTGGGAGCAGGACAAGAGGCGAGGTGGGGATGAAGGGAACAGGCACTCAGACAGGGACTGAGGGACAGGTGCTGAGACAGGGACCAGAATGGGAACTGCAGAGAACGGGTGCGAAGATGGGGACCGAGCAGGAACGGTGGCACACTGAGAACATGGGAGATGGAATAGGGAGCCAGTGGAACAGGTGCTGAGATGGAGACTGGGATGGGGACTCAAGGAAATGAGTGTCAAGATGAGGACTCAGTGGGATGGGTGGCACAATGGGAACTAGGATGGGGACTGAATGGAATGGGTGCTGAGAGGGGGAAGGCTGGGATGGGGATTGATGGGAGTGGGCAGAGAGATGGGGACCAGAATGAAGGCTAAGGGGAATGGGTGCTGAGATGGAGATTGGGATGGGGACCCAAGGAAACGGGTGTCAAGATGGGGACTGAGTGCGATAGGTGGCACAATGGGGATTGAGATGGGGATCCAGTAGAAGAGGTGCTGAGATGAGGACCAGGATGGGGAGCAAGGGGAATGGGTGGCGAGATGAAGATTGAGTGGGACAAGTTGCAAGATGGGGATACAGCAGAATAAAAGGCACAATGGGGACCAGGGTGGGGACGCAGTAGAAGAGGTGCCAAGATGGGGACTGGGATGGGGACTGAGAGGAACAGGTGGTGAGATGGGAACGAAGGGAAATGTGTGGCAAGATGTGGACTGGGATAGGAATTAAGGGGAATGGGTATCAAGACATGGACCAAGCAGGATAGATGGCACAATGGGGACTGGGATGGGGACCCAGGAGAATAGGTGCTGAGATAGAGATTGAGATGAGGACCAAGAGGAATAGGTAGTGAGATGAGGACTGAGGGGAATGTATGGAGAGATGGGGACTGGGATTGGAATGAAGGTGAAAGGATGGTGAGATAGAGGCCAGGATGGGGACTGACACTAGCAAGTGCTGTGATGGGGACTAAGATTAACAGGTAGAAAGACAGAAACAGGGATGGGAAGTGAGGGGAACAGGTGCTAAGATAGAGACCAGGACAGAAACTGAGAGGAACATGCGGAGAGACAGGGATCAAACAGGATGGGTGGCAAGATGAGAACTGGGATGGGGACCAAGGGGAACGGGTGTGGGTGAGACCCTACACCAGAGCAGCACCCCTAGCCCCACAAGGACCCAGCCTAAGGACACATCCCTACACTTCACCTTCGATCTCCTCCGGCCGCAGCTCCCGGTCCTGGCAAAAAGAATGCAGGCTGGAGGACGGCTCCCTCCACACAGCCACCCCAAATCCACACCAGTGGGCAGCTGTGGGAGCAGTGATCCCAGAGGACTGGGATGCACCCCAGGGGGGTATAATGCTCACATACCAGCTGTGTGATGGCAATGCTCTGTCGGAGGAAGATGCACGCCGGCCCCACAAGCCCATGCAACACTGAGTAGCTCTGCAGCGGTGGTGATTGCGCAGCCTCTGCCAGCTCCTCACCATCCTGGGGACCGGGGGGGCCGGAGCGCTGCTTCCCGTCCTGTAGGCAGAGCCGGAGGGCAGTAATAAGCCCAGCACAGCCCCCGAGCACCCCCCTGCACTTCAGCCTTACCTTGGAGAGCCTTCTCTCAGGGGTCTTGGTGCAGTTGCCCATGGCCAGGGGTGCCCAGGCATAACCGGTCCCCCCGGGGGGCCGCCTGGCGCAGTCCTGGGGGGCCGCCGCTCTGGCCCGGCCGCGCCAGGACGGGGTTTTTTTATAGTAACAGAGGCTGCGTGGGGATTTACGGTTTTTATGGAATATCTCAGGATATGCAGGGCGAGGCGGGGGGGCTGCACGCTGCCCGCACACACACACATAATCCCCCGGATTATGCCCTGCTCGGCCACGCCGCTCCAGATGTGGGGGAGCCGCCCAGCTGTTCTCCTTGAGGGGGGACAGTGTTACTGCCCCACCCGTCACCCCCTCAAGTCCTCCCCATTCCCCTCAATTAGCTGCCCAGCCCCATTACCTGCTTGGAAGTGGGGGGCAGCTGGGGCTCCTCGGTGCTCCGCCGCCCCCCCCCAGCACTCCGGTGCCCTCGGGGGTTGCGGCGGCCCCGTTTCACCCCCGGGGGGGCTCGGCAGGGGGAGGGCAGTGGGCTGCCGGGGACGCGGCGCTGGGGGCTGCGGATGAACAGGAACATGACGGCTCCTGCCCGGTGCTCAGGGCTCATTACCCTCCCTCCAGGCTCCGAATCCGATCCCCCAGTGCCGGGGTGAGATTGCAGCGGGGAAACCGGATCCGGCGGCCGGGATACACGAGCCGAGACATTGACACCGGACAACGAGACCGCGGGGGCCCGCAGTGGGAGCGGTGCGGGGCCCGGGGACGGGAGAACCGGGGTCCCACAGCCGGGGAGAGGGCTGCAGGGGTCCCCGAGCACGGAGCCGTGGCCTCGGAGCGCGGGGTTGGCCGCGGGAAAGCCGCAGCATCCACAGACCCCACAGCGCGGTGCAAACCCCACCACCGCCTCCGCGACCCCTGACCCACGGCCGGCTTCGGTGACGTCATCACAGCGCGCCGCGGCGCTCTCCGATGACGCCACATCCGAGCGACGCAGCCGGGGGCGCCTGAAGGTGGCGGCGGAGCGCCATGGCCGCCTGGCAGCTGAGGGCTCTGCGTCGTCTCCCCGCCGCCGCCGCCGGCTTCTCGGTAAGGGCTGGACCGACCGCTCAGCCTGGTTCCGAGCCCGGGGCCGCGCTGAGCTCCTCCCTTCCCCGCAGACAGCGCCGAAAAAGACGCAGTTCGGCTCTCTGAAGGATGAGGACCGTATCTTCACCAACCTCTACGGGCGGCACGAGTGGAGGTGGGCAGCGGGGACCGGGAGCGTGGGAGAGAAAAGAACATGGGCTGCGGGGGTTGCGGGTGCTCACAGCCGCCGTTCCGTGCCCGCAGGCTGCAGGGAGCGCTGCGGCGGGGCGACTGGTACAAGACGAAGGAGATCCTGCTGAAGGGCGTCGACTGGATCCTGGGTGAGATCAAAGCCTCGGGGCTGAGGGGCCGCGGGGGGGCCGGCTTCCCCACCGGCCTCAAGTGGAGCTTCATGAACAAGCCGCCTGATGGCAGGTAGGTGCTGAGGAGAAGGGGTGGGCAGGGCAAGGATGTGGAGGATGCAGAGAGGATGGGGCTGAGAGGCTGGGGTGATGCAGTGACAGGGACGCTTGGAGGGTCAGGGAGGGAAGGGGCTGAGGGCTGACAGGACTGCTTGGGAACAGGGACATGGGGAGCAGGGGACACAGCTTGGGAGATGGGATAGGCGTGTCTAGGGACAAAGAGACACTGGGGACACAAGGTTGGGAGATGGAACAGCAGAGAGTGGGGACAGGGAGATCTGGGGACACAAGAGTAGGAACTACAGGGGACATCATATGACTAGGAGATGGGGCTGGGGTGATTGGGAACAAAGCGACATTGGGGTGCAGGGTGTACAGGCATAGATAGGGTGGGGGTACAGGCAAATTAGTGGCAAAGTAATAGGGGTGCTAAGAAGAGAGAGAAGTTGGAGGGGGCTGAGAGGGGATGGGATTACTTAGGGACACCAGGAACGTGGCGGGGGCAGGGATGGGGGAGTGGGGAGATGGAACAGAGGGAACACCAGGAACATGGAGATATGGAGCTGGGAGATGGGACGGGGTGCTGACACTGACACCGCATCCTGTCAGACCCAAGTACCTGGTAGTGAACGCAGATGAGGGGGAACCAGGCACCTGCAAGGACCGTGAGATCATGCGGCACGACCCACACAAGCTGGTGGAGGGCTGCCTGGTGGCCGGCCGTGCCATGGGTGCTCGTGCCGCCTACATCTACATCCGCGGCGAGTTCTACAATGAGGCCTCCAATCTGCAGGTGGGTGCCACGGACGCGGTGGAATACACATGGGGACATCCCCTGCTGCTATCTACCTGTTGTCCCCTCCGCAGGTGGCCATCAGGGAAGCATATGAGGCTGGGCTTCTGGGGAAGAATGCCTGTGGTTCTGACTATGCCTTTGATGTCTTCGTGGTGAGGGGTGCTGGGGCGTACATCTGTGGCGAGGAGACAGCGCTCATCGAGTCCATTGAGGGCAAGCAGGGCAAGCCGCGCCTCAAGCCTCCCTTTCCTGCTGACGTGGGTACGTGCTGGAGCCCTTCTGCCCATCTCCACTTCACTAATTCCCTCCGGTACCACTCACAGCTCTGATTCCCTACAGGAGTCTTTGGCTGTCCCACCACGGTGGCCAATGTGGAGACGGTGGCTGTGGCCCCCACCATCTGCCGGCGTGGCGGTGCCTGGTTTGCTGGCTTTGGGCGTGAGCGCAACTCCGGGACAAAGCTTTTCAACATCTCCGGCCACGTCAACCACCCCTGCACAGTGGAGGAGGAGATGTCAGTGCCAATGAAGGAACTCATTGAGAAGCATGCTGGTAAGCACCACGCTCAAACCCAACGGGATGGTCCTGCCGGGCCTGGCTCAGTGTGTCCCCTCTTTTTTGGCAGGGGGTGTCCGTGGTGGCTGGGACAACCTGCTGGCTGTCATCCCGGGGGGCTCCTCCACCCCACTGCTCCCGAAGTCGGTGTGTGAGACTGTGTTGATGGACTTTGATTCCCTGGTGCAGGCGCAGAGTGGGCTTGGCACGGCTGCCGTCATTGTCATGGATAAATCGGTACAGAGTGAGCCCTCCCCAGGCTGCCCCCTCCCCTGAATGAGTGTCCCCTGATTGTCCCCTTCCTCCTCAGACTGACATTGTCAAAGCGATCGCTCGTCTCATCGAGTTCTACAAGCATGAAAGCTGTGGGCAATGCACCCCGTGCCGGGAAGGTAAGCGTGGGGCTGTGCCACAGGGTCTGTCACTGCATCACAGGGCCTGTCACCGTGTCCCTGTCCCCACAGGTGTTGACTGGATGAACAAGGTGATGGCACGCTTCGTGCAGGGAGACGCACAGACAGCTGAGATTGATGCACTGTGGGAGATCAGCAAGCAGATTGAGGGGCACACTATCTGTGCACTGGGTGATGGTGCCGCGTGGCCCGTGCAGGTGGGTGCAGGGCTCTGGGATGGCAGCGGGACCTCAGAGGCTTAGCTCTCAGCCTCACTGACTCTGCTTTGTTTGCTCAACGCAGGGCCTCATCCGCCACTTTCGGCCGGAACTGGAGGACAGGATGCGGCGCTTTGGAGAGGCCAAAGCACGAGTGGCCTCAGCATGAGGAGGTCGGGGTGGTGGCAGCAGTGGCACCACACTTTGCTGCTCCCAGTGGGTTCTAGCCCACTCTTGGAGCTCCTTAATAAACACTGCTGTAACTGAAGTGGCTTGAAACATGGCTTTTTACTAAAATCACAACATGAAACATCGACCATGGGTGCAATGGCACAGAGAAGGGGACAGTGGTGAAACCATGCCACCCTCCACCCCAAAACCTTCCAGCCCCAAACCCCTCACCCTCAGAGCCTTGGCTCCTTCAATATGCAGCTCAAGCCCTTTTTTGGGGAGCAGTGATGCCATGGCCAGGCACGTGGGTCTTTCTGCAGTACAAGTTGGGTGCCAGCAGCTCCAGCGTCAGCTCAGTGATGATGGCTGTCAGCCCCCAAATGCGGTGGGGGCCGTTGAGGAAGACAGGGAGGGTGTAGCCGTAGCGACCCGCAGTGCGGAAATGGGTGTAGCCCTGGTTCTCTTCCTGCAGGAGGTGCTCCAGAGGCAGTGTGAAGACCTCTGCCACCTTGCAGAAGCCGGAAGAGAGTTGGGGGACGCACATGGGTCACAGCAGGGAAGGGCACAAAGGGTAGGGGGTCACCCACCTCGTCAGGGTTTGGGGACAGTGTCAGGTCCTCCAGGGGTCCCAGGTTGGCCACCACAGGGACCACAAGCATCCCGTGCTGGCAGGGAGCATGTGGCAGAAAGACAGGGTGACAAATGCCACTGTGCTGCAGCCACTTCGCTTCCCCATCCCCACATGTCCTAACCCAAACCATTAGCCTCTGCCTACCATGTCCCTGCTGCCCTATCCCCAGCCTCCCCACGCCCATCCATGTGTCTCCACTGCCCTGCTGACCCCATCCTGTCACCCTGTTCCCCAGCCCCATCCTCCCTTAGCCCCAGTGCTCCTGTCCCCAGACACTCCATGCCTGTATTCCCATCAATTTTACCGATCTCACCTCGTCTCCACTGTGTCTCCAGCGTCCCTTTCACCTTGGCCCCAGTCACCTCTGTTCCATTTCCCAGCCACACGGTGTCCCCAGTGCCCCCAATTACACTTTCTTCCCAATTACCCCACCCCATCTCCCAGTCCTGTGTCTCCCGATCCCCACAGCCCTGTCACATCCCCAGAAGTGCTTGTAACCCCACCACACCACCTGTGTCCCCGTGCTGTTCCTGATGTCACCCTGTTGACAGTGATAGACATGGGGACTGTTGCTCTTCTCAACTTACCATTGCCAGCCCCGAGCTCAACATCAAAACGCTCTCTAGCACAGACACGTCCCATGTGCCCCTTCCATCCCCACGTTCCTTTGCCATCTCTGTATTTTTCCGAATATTTCCACACTGTCCCCATGTCCCAGCGTTGTCCTCATCACCGTTCTGTCCCCACATCGCCACTCAGTCCACAATGCCCTTCTGTATGTTATGCCACCATTCTGTACCCAACGTCCCCATGCTCCATTGCAGTTCCCACGTCCCCAGTTTATCCCCACATCCCCATTCTGTCCTCGGTGTCCCTGCACTGACCCTGTCCCCATTCTGCCCCTGTGCACTGTCCCCACCCTTCGTTCTGTCCACGCCCCCATGTCCCTGTGCTGTCTCCACGTCCCTGTTTTGTGCCATGTCCCCGTTCTGTCCCCATGTCTCTGCGCTATCCCCAAGGTCCCGGTGCCGTCCCTTCTGTCCCCGTGCCCTTTGATCCCCATTCTATCCCCGTTTGTGTCCCCGCTCCGTACCCTGTCGGGCAGCTCTCGCAGCCGGCCCCAGACTCTCTCCTCCCGCAGGTTCAGCCCCAGCTCCTCCCGCGCCTCTCGCAGCGCGGTGCCCTCCGCTCCGCCGTCCGCCGCCTCCCGTTTCCCCCCGGGGAAGCTGCAACGGGTGGGGGAGGGGAGGCGGCGCTGCGGCAGGGCCGGTAGGGGGGACCCCCACTCCACGACCCCGCCCCTCCAAGTCCCCCCTCACTACCTCACATCGCCGCCGTAGGGCCCGCGCAGACGGCTGCAGCGCAGCGTATAGAGCAGCGCGGGGCGGCCCCGCACGGAGCACAGCGGCACCAGCACGGCCGCCCCGGCCTCCGCGCCTCCCCCCGCCGCCCCTTCCGCCAGCAGCCGCCGGCACCGCCGCTCCGTGCCCCCGCACAGCGTCACGCGGTGCGTAACTCCCCGCGCCCAGCTGCCCACCCGCATGGCTGCGCCGCTCCGGGGTGGAAGGAGGGAGGGAGGGACCGCCCCCCCCGGGGCTGCAGCGCTCCCAGCGGCTGTGCGACGCGATTATGGGGCGTGCGGTGCCCCAGATAGGCGAGCAAGGCGGTCACGAAGTGTACAGCCTTACAACTGGGCGTGCAGCAACTCCCCCTGGGTACGCAATCCCATAGCCAGGCGTGCAGCCCGCACACCGGGGGCGTAACACTGCCGGCAGGGGTGCAACCCTGGCACTGGGTGTGCAGCTTGATCTGTGGAACTATACCTCCCCTGCAAGGTGTGCAACCCCACGAGCAGGTGTAATATGCTGCTGCTGGATGTATAATTGGGACAAGAGGACTGCAGCAACCCTGCTGGGCACGCAGCCCTACCAACAACCCTAACGTGTGCCTGAACACATTAGGATTGTTGGTGCACTCCTGAACACTCCTGCCCCACAACCTTGGCACAGTGTGTACAAGCCTCCTTGGAATGCTGGAGATCAGGGCAGGGTAGAGCAGAGCAGGGCAGAGCAAGGCAGGGCAGGGTCGTCCCCCCCAAGAAAGCCCACAGCCCCACAATAGACACTCTCACACAGATATTTTCATAGCTCAAAATTAAATGATTAAAAAAAAAAAAAAAAGTATAGAAATCACCACTCTCTCATAATTCCTTCTCAGTAGAGACTAGCATGGGTTTACGGCTCCACTCCCACCTTCAGCGGAACCTCCTCTCATCCCACACATATCGCTTTCCTGCGGGCACCTTGCGGAAAAACAGGCTGTTCCCTCGGCTCATGTTGCCCTGCAACAGAATGAGTATCAGCCTGGGGGTCATTCAGTGCTGCCCTTAGCCCTGTAGCAGCCCCATAGCATCATGGCGCTTACTTCCTTGTGCAGCTGGCTCCAGCAGTCCAGCCAGGAGGAGTAGGTGGGTGCATAGGGGAGCAGGCCCCCAGCTAGCCTGGTAAGGAGAGCACTGTGTTATTTCCACCCAGGGGCGATGTAGGACCCATCATTCCCCGGCTCTGCATGGGGCTGAGCTCCATCTGTAACACTGCCGAGGTTCCAGCTCCCACCCCGCACCTCCCCACGGATGCGCCTGCTCAGCCCTGGGGGGGGTGGAAACCATTCTTGCCCTTTGGGAGCTTCCTTTGGGAACACCTCACATGGATCACAAGCACACATGGCGAGTGTGGGAGACGAGGGAGGTGGTGGTGGCAGTGCGCTCACCCGCAGTTATTGACAGCCATCAGGTTGGAGACCAGCACGAAGGGGTACGTCAGCATGCTGGCAAAGAACTGCAAGGCAGAGCAGGGCTGCTCAGTGGGAAACACCACGAGCGTGCCAACACGTACCTGCGGGTTGTACTCACCCCGGTGACTGCCTGCGAATAGCTCTTCATCTCTGTCATAGAGACCTGGGGGGAGGAAGGCACTGTGAGTCCCACCCGAAGCAGGGACCTGAGCATCCCCTGAGGCACAGAGCCCATACCCCATTCTCCAGCGCATATGTGTTGATGAGGTAGGCCAGCATATTGCAGAGCCAGAGTGAGAGGATGTCTCCGAGGAGCCGGGGAACAAGGCCGCTGAAAGGGAAGAGGCAGAGAGTTTAGGAACAGGAAACAGCAGATCTTCACTCAATGGAAGAGATCACAGCCTCAGGAATGTGGATACTCAGGAAATAATGAGTGGCTCAAGCACGGTTTTATGGTTCCCCAGGCACCAAACAACAGCCACACAACAGATTACACAAGGAAGGTGTGGTTGCCCCATCTCTACAGGTGCCCAAGGCCAGCCTGGATGGGTCCCTGGGCAGCATGATCTGCTGGGGGGCTTTGTGGCCCCTTTCAACCCAACCACTCAGTGGTTCTATGAACACGGGGCAGGCACTGTGATTACAAGCCATTAGCTTGCCCAAGGAGTACATCTTTTTGGTCCCACGTACCAAAATGAAAGCAGAGCACTATGAAGAATGGTGAGCAAGAAAATGGGAAAACAAAGCAAGAAGCAATGCCCAAGGTCTGTGGGTTTAGTGGAAAGACCCCCACCACCCCCAGCACACAGCACTCACGCGAAGAACCCCAGGATGCCTTCTTCTCGGTAAATCGTGGTGAAGGCGCTTAGTGTTCCGCTGTGCCAGGAAGAAAAGGAGAGGGCACTGGTCACACCAAGCAGGTCACAGGGACATGGCACCCTGTGGCTGCCCCCGTACCTGTACTTGGTCTCCCTGCCAATGAACTGCACCATGCATCGCAGGGTGATCACTGTGGGCAGAGCTGAGATCAGCGTGGCACAGTGGGATGGCACTGAGGCTGCCACCATGATGCCCACGGAGCCACAGTGGTGGTTACAGTCAACTGCAGGGGTACGTACCATGGAAGGGGTGGGTGATGAGGGTGGCAGCAGAGCGAGCCACCATCTCTCGGGAAGTCTGGAGGAGAGAAGAGCTGTCAGAGGCAGGGAAAGAGGGCAGGGGGGAACTTTGCAGCACCCTCCTTCCTCTCACCTCCTTCAGCACCTGTTCCAGAGAGGACACAGGCTCCTTCTTGCTGGCTCCTAGCTGGAGAGAGACAAAAGCATGAGGAAAGCCCTTGAAACACAAACCTCATCCTAAAAGCCCTCACGTACCTCAGCCTTCTCAGCCTCCTGGTACCGCTGTGGAGAGAAGCACACGGTCAGGAGTGACCCACCAGCAGCTGCAAACGAAGGCACACAGGGGGCACAGTACCTGCAGCACTTTGCCATGCACCACGGTGCCAATGGCGCTGGAGCAGAGACGGGGGGCGAGGCCCTTGAAAAGCCCCGCTCTGCCATCCACTTTCACGATATGTTTGGCTGAAGGAGAGACGGGCAGCGTCAGAGCCCCACCGTGTGCCCACAGCACCCGGACGGGGCTGCGCTGTGGAACTCACCATAGGCAAAGAGGCCTGGAAGTTGGTAGACCTGGCGGCCGAAGATGTTTCTGCCCAGGGTGGGCGGCAGTGGTTCGTATCCCACCTGCGGCGTGAGAGCACGGACGGTCCCCACGGCCCCCTCGGGCCCACTCTCTGTGCCATTCCCCCAAGTTCCCCGTACCGCTGCGCTATGACACAGCCGAGCACCGCCGCCCCGGCACCCCCTTACCTGCACCAGCACCTTCACGTACATGAGAGGCTGCGAGAGCACAGTCAGCCCCGAGCCCAAAAGCACCTGCGAAGCCTCGTCCGCCATGCTGCCGCCCCGGCGCCACGGCCCAAAGGACACCTCCACCGCTTCCGCTTCCGCCTTGCAGCGACTTCCGGCGCTCTCTCAGCCCACTTCCGGTCTGGTCGCCACGGCAACGAGGCCTGCACCACCCTTGTGGCTTGAGATGCGGCGTCGATGCCTGCGAGCTCGAGCTGTCGGGGCCTGAAGTGACACCATGGCAGCTGGCCCTCGAGAGCCCGTCTCCCCTCTCTCCTCCCGTGGGACACGGTGCGACACAAACACGGCACTGCCACAACAAAGCTGCCTTTAATGCCGAGTGCAGGCGGAGCAGCGTGCCGCTGTGAGGCCGGGCCACCTCCCACAGCCAGCAGCAGTGGCCACGCTCGGGGACAGCGCCGCTGTGGTGCCCCGTGAGGAAGGTCTCACTCGGCCTGCCCGTGAAGAAGCAGCACCTGTGCTGGTGGCCGTGGTGGTGATGGCGGCGGTGGTGGTGGCAGCGATGGCACTCCGTGGTGCCCAGCGGTGCCCTGTGGTTGTCACATACCCCTCCATCCGTGTGGCTCTCACAGCGATGTGGTGGTGGCATACTGCTGTGTGTGCAGCGGGGACAGCTCTGTGCAACTCCTCCGCTGCCCCACAGCCTCTTCGTGTGGGGACAGGGACAGATAGGGGCACGGGGGAGCACGAATGTGTCTGCTGGAGCACAGAAGAGGGGCTGCAGGCACTCTGAGTCCCACTGTGGCAGGCAGAACCACACTGAGCCACTCTCACCGGGTCACCACCATGACTACTTTGGGTGCCATTGGGCCTGTACATGGCATTCCTCACTCTGTGGCTCCGTAACCGCTTTCTCCTCCTCAGCTGCAACCGGCCAAGTGCCACCCTGGCACCTTGTCCCTTCTGTCTGCAGGGGCTCTCCCTCCTCTCTAGGGACCCATCAGACACGGAGCTATCGGAGCCACTGGTGCTGTGTGAGGGAGAAGACAACTGCAGCCACTGCAACGGTCACTGTTCCCACAGATGGCATCACCGGGACACACCTGGACTCCAGCTGTGAGGCGGCGATGTCACTCCAGCTCTGACCGGAGCCCAGCCGCGGCCGCAGCAATGCATCCACCTCTGCCAGGCACTGCTGGAACTGTGCGATGGAGCCAGTGTCATTGTCACTGCCGTGTGGGGCTGCTGCTGGCTGCAGTCACCCACATACCTTGGCTGGATTGGGGTCACAGAAGTCTAGCAGTGTGTCGCAGAGGTGGTAGCCCAACGATTTGAGGTCCTCCACTGTGAAGTGTGAGTTCCTCCCACCTGCGGGGGAGATAGGACAACAAAACGAGTGGCTGCATCCCTCACCAGGCCCCAGAGCCTGTTCTTAGGGCTGGAATTGTGTTTCTGGGTGATTCTGTCTCCAGCACTGTCCCTCACCCAGCGTGGAGCCACCAAAGGCCGCCTCTAAGGTGTAGCTGTTGGCAATGCCCATTCGCCACATGACCACCCTGCCCGTCCCCTCCTTGCTCTTCTGCACCTTGAACTTGCAGCTGGAGAAGGAGAACTGCAGCCCCATGGAGGCACCATGACAGCAACCCACGTCACCACGATGCTGCCCAATGCAGATCACCAGATGCCGAGCCCACCTTGTCAGGCGCGTTTTTACTTAGCATCAGCGGGAAGATGCGCTCCTGCAACCGTGTCTCAGAGCCGTCCCGACCACCATCGCAGCCGTACATGAAGACGTTGTTCTTGCGGCTGTGCCCGTGGAAATCACAATACAGCACCACCTCCTGCTCCACCAAGAGCCTGCAGGTACCTGTCAGGATACAGCAGCCAACACCCCACTGGCCGCCCGTGCACCGCTGACCTCACCTCTCCACCATGGCTCGCAGGTGCCAGATGGCCGGAAAGGAGCCCCGAGATCCAGTCCCGTAGGCTCGATTGGGGTCACGGCCAGCCAGAGAGCAGCGGGAATTGCCCACCACCACCCCATCAGGGTTGAGCATGGGCACCACCTTGAAGACAAAGAGCTGGCGCAGGAGATGAGCGTCAGGAGCAGCGCTGAGGATGAAATCGAGGAAACCCTGCATGGCCCAGGAGCCACCGCTTTCCCCAGGGTGCACACGGGCGCTCAGCACCACCGCCCGCTTGGCTGCACCACCAGACGGCGCGGTGATGGTGAGCAGGTAGACGATGTTACCGGCCAGGCTGCGGCACAGTGCCCGCACCACACAGTACTGTGAGCGTGCTGGATCACCCATCACTGTCCGCAGGTACCGCTGCAGGTCCGAGTAGGTGTAGGGGTACGAGTGGGCAAAGTAGCACATGTCACTGTCATGGGGAAAGCAGGTGCTCCAGGACAGGCAGAAGGGAGCCGGCTCCTCCCCGCTGTTCCCTCGGTAGTAGCGGATGTTGGTGCCCACGCGGCGCCAGCCGATGCCATGGCTCTGGGCATCCTTCTGTGAGTAGAACAGTGGGCACATGCCCTTGCTATAGAGGCTCTTGGGCTTCGCCAGGTTGACAATGGTGAAACAGTAGACGGTGTCTTTCCGTGTGTTTTGCACACGGAAGTAGAACCACTGGGTGTGCTTGGCGGTGTACAGGTCTGGCCGCAGTGTCAGCACATACTCATAGGGGCCCCTGGTGGGCAGAAGGACCACACTTTGGCACTGGGCATGCCACTGTTCCCATTGCCCATCCCCATCACCACTCTTACACCTTGACTGCTTTCTGGAGGTTGCCACACTCGAAGCGCGACTCAAACAGCAGCGTGTTGTCCTGGGAGTCCTCCAGGGTGGCGGCTGGTGAGGAAAGGGGGCCTGGGGCCCCCCCAGCCCGAGCGCGGGTGAAGCAGGAGCCTGAGGGCACTGGGAACAGCTGGGCTCAGCACCCCAGTGATAGCACAGGGATGAGGAGGGGGTGAGCAGCACCCTTGGGCACTACCTGGGCTGAGCTGGTAGACAACAGTGCCCTGCTGCTCAGCCCTTGGCAGCCAGTGGTGGTCCATGGGCTGGCAGAAGGGTTCTGGTTCAGGGGGGATCCATTCTGGGGAGGGATGGAGACACACCCCATTATCATCACAGTGGTTGGGCATGTGGACAAGGATAGAAAAAGGCAGAGTGCTACCTCACCGATGTGCTTGATGGTCTCCTTGATGACCTCGCACTCAATGGGCCACCGGGGAGCAGGAAGGGGTCCTCGTGCCGAGGGAAGGGCAAAGAGAGCCCGTGGCTCCCTGAGTGACCCATAGCCCTGCAATGGGATCAACTGCGGGGCCCTGGGGGCTGCAGAATGGTCTGGGGGGCTCCCAGCCCCCTGGTGCAGTTCCAGCAGAGAACAGACAGCACGGGCTGGAAAGGTTGGAGACAACGCTCCTGGTGTCAACCCCAAAGCACCCATTACCCCACCAGGAGTGCTGCAGCCTGGTGCTGGGGGTTTTACTCACAGTTCGGGTCCTTCCCTACACTCTGCTGGGTACCAGAGTCAGCACAGTGGCATTCGGTGTGTCCCCATGGAGACACAGAGCTCTGCTGGCTGGCTGTCTTCTGGCCTTTGGGGGAGCGCTGCTGGAGCCCAACCAGGGGGTCCCACAGCCCGGGGTACAAGAAGGTGACACGCAGCTCACCTTTGAAGTAGCCGTAGTAGCACAGGTGGTCGTGCATGAAGTTGTCGTAGGGCTCAGGGACAGCCTGGGCAGAACGGTGCCATCAGGGCCTGCTCACTCCCAGGGCTGGCAGCCACCAGTCCTCCTCCCAGTCCCCCTGGCAGCCCCCAACCTGGGCAGTGAGGTGCCTCAGGAGCCACATGGCTTCGAGACGCACTCAACCCTCTCGTGTCCCCTTCTCCTGTTCCCAGACGCGGTTGCTCAGTGACCGTTGGTAGTGGGGAAGGATGGGGCGGTCCCAGGCTGGAGCTGGGAAAGGAGCCAGAAGGACCGTGTTGTTCACTGTGCCCTGGTGAACACTGAGGGGAGCAGTGCCATGGCAGGGCCCTCGTTTCCACACTGCAGGTGACACTCCAGCCCCAGCCCACAGATGTCACCCCAACCACGTGAACCCCCAATGTCCCTCTTGCCATTCAAGCAGACGGCACATCCCAAACTGCTACAATTTATTGGACAACAGTTGAGTCATAAAGGGCTCCAAACTGTACAACTGTAAAAAACAGCACCGCATGTACGCTTCACGTGCTAGATGCAGTTTTCCTCCGCTTCAGCCGTGCTCTCCAGTCCTCTGGCAGCGCTTCAAAGTTGGCGTTCCTCTCCGCCATGCCACTGCAAGGACAAAGCAGGGTGTCAGCCTGCCACTCAGGTGATGCAAAGGGATACTCTCCCCACCACTACTCTCCCCCAGCCAGAGACTCCAGATCACACTCCCTGCCTCTAAAAGGGATGAGGAGACGGCTCTTGACAGCAGTGCTCCGTGACAAAGCTCCTGTGTCCATACCTGAGCAGCTGTTGCTGCTTCCACTCCTCAATGCGCCTCTGCGCCGTTGTCTCCCGGTCCTCCTCACTGGAGCTGGAGTTCTCCTCCTCATCGAGCTCCCGCTGGATGCTCTGCCACTTCTTCACCAGTGATGGCATCTTTGTTTTGCCCTTCTTGCTCTGCAAAGGAATTAAATGGGCTGCAGTTAGGCACATCATCAGGACAGCAGGCTCACAGGCAACGTAACAGCCCAGGAGCGTCCTCCTACCTTTTCCTTCCTCCCCTTCCTTGGCTTTTCGGGTTTATCTGGCGGCGGCGGCGCTTTGGGTGTGGGAGGTGGAGGTGTCTGGGGTGGAGGTGGGGGAGGCGGATGCTCAGCAGTGCTGGTGGCAGGCAGGGAGCCGCGTGCTGGGGCCGGTGGCACAGCAGCAAGGCCAGCAGGCACGGCGCACTCGGAGTAGCTCATGACGGATGGTGCAGCGGGTGCTGTCACACCCAAGTAGCCGGGCTGGATGGCCATGCTGGATGGCTGGGGGACTGCATGTCCCGGTGGCAGGCGGAGGTTGGCACGGCTCTGCATGTCGCCCTGCAGGCGCTGGCGTGGCCTCAGGGAGGCGAGGGGCACAGGCGAAGGCTGGTACTTGCCAGTGGCCATCAAGGGCTGGCTGTAGATGACAGGGCAGCTGCCGATGGTGGCCGTTCGCTGCATCAGCTCCGTGTTCATCTCTGTGGCTTTCCGCTTCTGGGGCTTGGCGGAGAGTAGCAGGGCAGGGCTGGGTTCGGCAGCGCCCTGCAATGGAAAGCACTGGGCTGGGAACTCAGACGGCACCTATAGGGCCCGATGGGGTCACGGCTTGCTAGCTGGAGACACCGAGCGAGGCCCAGCTTTGCTCACCTGGCTCCTGCTGACAGCTGGGCGCAGGAGAGGCTTGAGCAGAGCATCTTCCTCCGTCCCCGGGGCAGGCGGCTCCTCGCCCCCCTCGTCTTCCATCTCCACTTCCTGGATCTCGCCATCTTCTCCAAGAGGTGGTGGGGGCGGTGGCGGCGGCGGCGGCGAGTCAGGTGGAGGCGGAGGCGGCGGAGGCATTTCCAAAGGCAAGGGAGGTTGGAGGACCGGGACAGAGGACTGAAGCAGAGTCCAAAATGGAGTGAGCGGCATGAGAGACGTAGCAGGGACTTGGCCTGAGAAGGGTTCTTTACAAAGGGAGCCTGAAGAATACATAGTGACACAGGCTTGAAAACCCAGGCTACTGACCACGCTGCCGCTCCGCTGCCAGCACGGGTGCGTGCTGCCTCCTTCCAAGGCCCTGCCGCCGAACAGGGAGGCTCACCTAAAGCTACCGCCACCGCTGCACGGACGGGGACCCGCTCCTAGGGCTGGGAGTGCCACACCAAACTCCCCCCTCCTCTTCCTATCCCCACGCCATACCTGTTGAACTCTCAGTGGCATCGGCGGGATGCTCTCCTTTCTCTTTGGGAGGTGGTTTGGGAGGATCGTCAGCTTTTCTGTCGATGCTCTGCTGTCCTTCATCTTCATCCTCTCCGTCGGGGAACTCCCACTGTGACTCTCCTGAGTGCTCGTTAACATAGAAATAGCGCCTATGCTCCCTAAATCACAAGAAAGAAAACGAAGCTTTACATTCCCTTCCCACACAGCGACACTCCAAGGCAGGCCCGCCCACGACAGCAGTGTGCTCTCGCAGGGAAGACCCTCTGCAGCTGGGCTGCTGCTCCCAAACGCGACAAACAACTTTGAGGATAGAGGCAGGAGAGGCCCAAGCCAGCTTGTTCCAAGCTAGCGGCCCCGCTGGCTCCGTGAGCGCTGCCCCAAGCCCCCTGCTCCGAGGGAGGGGAGGGCTGAGAGCGGGCCAGCGTGCAGCAGAGCCACGTCGCACTAGCACCGGGACTTTGAGCCGCCACCTCGGCTTAAAGTTGCCCCTCCAAGAAGGGGCACCAGGGAACAGCCCAGTGAGAAGCGGCTGCCCCCAACCCCGCGGTGCGTGGAGGTCGCTTTTATGATACTCTTGGTGTCAAACATACAGTGAATGCTAGAGAAAGGGAGCAGATCTGGGAGCTGAAAAACAAAAGAGCAAAGATTTCAAATAAAGGAAAATTAATCGAGAAAGCCAAATAGACAAAGAAATGTTTGGGTCTGACCTGCTGGCAGGAGACAGAAATCTTGTTCTTCATTCCGGCGATGAGTTGAAGTTTGTCCTTTGTCAGAGCTGTTGGTCAGAAGAGGTGATCCAGAGATCCTGCAAAGTTCACAGAGCTCTCGCATGCGCGACCCCCCAGGCCCGCCCAACGCAGCAGCGCTTTACACTCGTGAGAGTGCCACCAGCTCTGTCCAGACAGTGGATCGGCTCCGTCTCAAAGCACTGAGCACTCGCTCTGCATTTCTCCCATTTGGCGGCCGGCTCAAACTCTGAAAGTGCCGCAAGTTGCTCTGCCTGCCCAGCACCGCTAATGGAGTCTCCAAGAGGGACGGCGCCGCGTCGTCAGGTGGTGATGGTCACAAATCATGTCTGAGATGTCAGAGATGAAAGGTGAGAAAGGTAGAAGAGGGCGTACCTGTCCCAGTGGCAGGACCAGCCTTTAGGGGTGGCGTTTATTTCGTATTGTTTTAGCTGTTCGGCTGCATCTTGGAGTTTGCGTTTGAGGTAGTTTCCATTGAGAGCACCTTCTCGCCAGTCTGCAATGCGGGTCTAGAGGGGCAAGAACCGGGGGGAAGCCGTTGAGGGGGGGGGGGGCTGCCAGCAGCCCCAGGGACGGGACTCGAGGTCTGGGAGAGGCTCCCTTATGGCATGGGGCTCGGGGGGGCTGGGAGGAGGAGCCCGCCTCTGCGCAAAGCCATGCTCGCACCCCACCGAGGATGGGCCCTGCGGCGCCGGAGCCACGAGCTTCGCGCAGCGCTCAGCGGCGCACAGCGGGATCCGCTTGGAGACGGAAGGCCGGAGCGAGGGGCGAAGGCTCGGTTACCTCTGTCTGCAACAGCAACATGTGGAAGTTGGAGATAGATTGTCTGTTGATGCCCAGGAACTCCAATTTACTAGTCAGAGTGTTTGCGAGCTCTCCGATCTGAAACTGCCAGGGAGAAAGGGGGAAGAGTCAGCAGCCGTGCTCGGGCGCCGTCGCCGGGCTGCTGTGCCTACTGCGGACGTCCCTGGGGTCCCGCTGCAGTCCCGCGGTGAGGAAGCATGCTCTGCTCCTGTGCTGGTCGCTCCCTCTGCCCAGCCCGCCCCTCCTGCAGCCTCTGCTGCTTCCTGGGGACCGCTCCCTACTCCTAGCAGCTCCCGGCTCCAAATCAGCCAAAGGCCACGGCGTCACAGCAGAGCAAACAGATCGCTAAATAATCAAAGACTTTAAGTGCTTCCCAAAGGAAATGGGCCAGGACATATTTTTCAGCCTTTGTAAATTGCTGCTTTCCAGAGGGTGCTGAAAGGCACCAGCTCTAGATTTACTCCTGAGCTGAGGCAGCATCTGCATTATAATCCAGCCCACAGTGAGCACAGCTCAACCCCAGCACCTCACAGGGAGCTCTATGAAGGGCCGTGCCCCGGGGGAGCAATCTGAAAGCATGGGGTGAGCTGGGAAGCAAAGAGTGCAGCAGAGATCCCTCTGAGGGACATCACAATTGCTTCGAGGAGGACTCTGAAACCATTTCATTTTCCATCATTCTTCAGAAGAGACCTGGGAAAGTTCCCAAAGCCAACAACAGGACCGGGCTGATGAGCCGTGCTAAAGGAGCCCAAGGCAGGGAAACAAATTCCCGCACTGCAGTCCCTACGGAGAAGGTAGGAAGATCCCAAATCAGGGGATGGCTCCGCAGCGCAGCATCTCCTACAAACCAGGCTGAAGAGAATCACCCCGAACCGACGAAGCGAACGGAACGAGTTACCCAAGGAGCTGGCATTCCTCCAACAGCGCTAAAGGGATCCTGCACGTGAAATCACCACGCTACGGCACACAGTCCATCACACAGAGCACCTCCAGCACCAGAAGAAAAGGTGACAGCAAATGTGACACTTTAACAGGCTTCCAGCAGCCGGCTGGGATGCAGCAGCCAATGAAAACGATCCTTGCCACAGGCTTTGTTTTTTTTTTTTAATCATAAATTAGAAAACAACAAAAGCCTCATGTATATGCTATGCTGGAGGAGGTTTTGTGCAGAGAACGTCACGTCACACCTCGAAACTCTGCTACAAGTTTTTCTGACACAGATTAAATGTGGCTTGAGGACATTAAAGCCCTTTCGACTGCAAAAATGATTAAATTAGGGGAAATAAGGGCAGAGTTAAGTGTGAATTTTCTCAGAACATTTCCAGAGGAGTTCTACTGTGAGCCAATGACTCCCCGTTCACAAACAATCTGGCAAAGGGAGGGTGACCTGCTAACGAAGCAGATGCCAGTAATGAGCAACTGAGGAACAAAGGGGACAGGTTGCAAAGGACAAATATGGAGATGTCCCCTGCCCTCCTGCATAACCATCAGCGGAATCTGAAGCTCTGTATGTAAGTGTTACGGCTCAGGAATCAAAGAATTACTAAAGTTGGATAGGACCTCTAAAGATCATAGAGTCCAACATCAACCCATCCCCA